CGCGTGAGTGTGAACCTGGCAACTCAACTCGGCGGCGCGGGGGGCGTGAGCGTCACTCCGTCTCTTGAATTTCTCGGGTTGGCATCTTGTGTGGAAACAGTTGTCCCAGCCCTCGACCCCACCCACTTCTCACCCCCCCCCCACACCTCCACGATCACTGCGTTCCTTCTCTTATCGTCATCGTCGGCCCCCCTTCTCCTCCTCTACTTCGTCAAGGCACTCGGCCTCGCCCTCGCCCTCCTCATGCTCATCCTCCACGTCCTCGTCTCCCAAAACAGAACCGCACCAACCATCCGGATGCCACTAGAATGCACGGGAACTTTCGAAAACTTTCGGGAACTTTCGAGAGCCTGAGGAGGCCAGCTGGTCATTCATTGTCGCTGGGTGCGTGGCTCAAATGGGATTTCCTGGCCTGGGTTCTTGCTGTTTGTTGTTGCTGTTGTCGTCCTCGCCCGCGACCCCACCGCGACCCACCCCTCGACCCACCCCGCGACCTATCCCGAGACCCACCCCGAGACCCACCCCGCGACCTACTCCGAGACCCACCGCCCCATATCTCACCCCGCGGCCCAACCGCGACCCACCCCTCGACCCACCCACTCTGCTTGGCCGAAAAATTCGGCGCCTGCGGCGGGCCTTTTTCAGAGCCTCGAAGGACTGCCGACGACCCCACCGCCCCCTCCTCCTGATGGTGCCCATGCTCCTCCTCCTCCTCCTCCTCCTCCTCCTCCTCCTCCTCCTCCTCCTCATCATCATCATCATCCCCTCCCTCCTCCTCCTCCTCCTAATCCTCCTCCTCCGGGTCCTCCTCCCCCCTCTCCTCCTCCGCCTCTTCCCCCCTCATCTCCTTCTCTTCTCCGCAACTCTGGCGTGCCACGTGCTCGTCGTTTTCGCCTTCCTCGCACAGCCCAGGCCGCTCGGCTGATCGCACTCTCGCGCTGGGCGAGGCTTCTGTCCACCACGCTGGGGACTCTGCCCGGCCTCCTTGGCCTGGGTGTCTGCGCCGCGTCACGGGGCATGACGAGGGGGGGGCGATCCCACACTGCCCGAGGGTGTCCCATACCATGCGCTGCCAGACGCGCGCCGAGCTGCGCAGCAACTGTCGGGGCAAGCGTGGCCCCCGGCAGGTGACACCGTCGTCGGCGGTGTGCGCACGGCCTGCAGGGCTCAACCCGAAGAACGAGCTCCACCGTCTCCTTGGTGTGGTCGTTCTGTCCTCGTTTCGACTTCGCTTTCCCTCGCCTCTGTCTTCGTTCCGCCCCATCTGCCTCAACCCACGGAGTCGCCAGAACACACAATCTAGCTCGGGCCCTGCCGAGGAGAGCGCGGGTCCTCCTCGGCCTGCTGCACGGAAGCTCCAGCGGGCAAGGGGCCCACCCGCACGCCCGCTGCACTCTGGGGATGCCCGCTCCCCCTCGCCCACCCTGCTTCCTTCTTGCTCGGGCCTCGAAGTCGTGTGCTCTTCTGGTGTTGAGCAGGGACCCACCGTCCCTGTATTCTTATGGGCCTACCACTGAATTTGCCCCCAAACAAACTGTCATAAAACAAACACTGTTCTTAACCGTAGGCTCGATGTGTTAGAACAAGACGGTCTCAACCAGAAATGCTCTAAACAATTTCGTGCAGACCGCAAAAGGTTATTCGAACATTGTTCGGTGGGCCTGTAGGCGAGCCAGGACGCTTCGCTAAGGCCTTATGGTGGCTTCTGTCAGAAACGTGGGGCCCCCAAGGCTCAACGACCCCGCTCTCGGGGACGATGTGGTCGTCCACGATCGGGTTGCTGAACTGCCCGAGGACCTTCAACGGGCGCCCCAGAGGCTGCTGGCGTGTCGCCAGGGGGGCATGGGCCTGGCGCTCTCCCAAGCTACGACGGAGTTTCCCCAAGGACTTGCCAAGGGTGTTCTCGACATCGGTTTCGAGGGCGTCCTGCCGCGGTCACGCGGCACTGGAGAGCACAAGAAAGCCTGGGTCTCAATGGTGGGAAAAGGAAAAATCACAAACGCAAAAATACACTGTCGGGGCTCCGCGCGGATTTCCCGGATCTGCGCTGGGCCCACCTGGCGGCGCCTCCGCCCCCCCCCCCCGGCGCGATCCGCGCGCAAGTGACGCGGGCCCAGCGCCGATCCAAGATATCTGCACGGAGCTCCAGATTGTCGTTTTCTTCTTTCGTCTTCTGTTCACGAAACTCACGGAAACTGACGGATGCAGCGACCTGCCGAAAACTCACGGATGCAACGCTTTCGTCTTCCTCGCATCGTGCGCGCCGCGGGATTCCGTTGCTGCCCACCCCGGCGCGGCCCAGGATGAAGGGCACGAGCTGGTTGATCTGAGCGGCGAGGTCCTCCGGCGGCAGAGGAAAAGTGAAGGGTAGGTCGGAAAAACGCGCGCTCGTGGGTGCGGCGCGGCGCGGCGCGCTTGTATGTTCGGGTTCCCCTACAGGCAGATTTTGATGGAAAAAGAGGGATAGCCACAAAGATTCCAGATTTGTCAACAGTGGTCGAGAGCGACGTGACCGAACTGATCGTACGCGCGAGAGGCGCGCTCAGGGTCTGCACGCCGCGCCCGTCCTCCCCTTCCCGTCCTCCTTCGCGAGGCGACGCCCAGGGTGGGGTGGGCCCAACGGTGCGGGGTCTGAGCACACTCGCACAGGACGGCCCCTGGAGGAGGGACGTGCCAGCCTCAATCTGGGCTCGCTCCTTGACCCCACCTCGTGCCAGCTCTCCCCCGCCTCTGCGTGCCCACGATCCTTAGCATCTCCTCCCCCCTGGGCAAACGAAAGGTTCGCGCGCCCCTCCGGGCGAGGCGCGAGGAGCCGATGCTGAGGAGCAACGGGGTTGCCCGCCTTCGCCGTCGCGCCGCGTTTCCGTCGCCGCGTTTTTTCCGTTTACCCAGGAAGAGGAAGGGGAGGAGGAGGAGGAGGAGGAGGAGGAGGGGGAGGAGGAGGGGGAGGAGGAGGAGGAGGAGGAGGAGAAACCAAGGAGAATGGATGAGAGAACTCAGGGGCAACGCTGGGGGGGGATACGCCCTGGGAGGACGCATCGACACCCAATCGCACACTCATCGCTGACACGGGCCCCATAGACGGCCCCGCCCAGGACCGTGCGGATTCGCTATCGGGGGCCCCTGGCGGCCTCAAACCTAGAACGCCAGGCGCCGGGGGCGCCGCGCCAACGAGACGCTGCGAACCTGCCGTGCATATGCACAGAGGCCCGAGGCAGGAAGTGAGGCTTGAGAAAAACATGCTGCTGAACTGCTCGACGCGCGTACAATAGGGGCCCGATCGCAGGAAACCTTCCCCGAGAAATCCCACCCTGAGACCCCAGGACGTCCATCGACTGTTGGTGTGGGAACGTCGCGCGTTCCATGGCGAAACCATCGACACCCAAAATTCTTGGGTTTCGATGGTTTCGCTAAGAAGCCAAAAGCAAGAAGCCCAGGGCCCCCTGAAGGCAAGCGCAGTGTTTCTTGGCATGGGCCCACAAGGTAATGGTGCGCCGGTGTCGCAGTGATGCCCTCCCCCTCCTGTACCTGCCCACATAATCCGCCGATCCGGCGTGTGATCTACAAGGAGCCTCAGCAAGAGCTTCAGCTCTGAGCCTAAGCGAGAGCTTCAGCTCTGCTGGGGGGGGTCGCCGGGGTGGCTATGCAGAGGCAGGGGGGAGGGGGGGGGGGGGTCTTCCATCTGGCGTTTTCTTCATGACTTGCGTATCCGAACCCCCTCCGGGGAGGGGGGGGCGGCCCCCCACGTTATTCTTTGGTTTGAAGACCAAAAAATGAGTTGCGCATCCCCAAGATGCTTCGGGGGGTCTCAGGGACCACCCCCAGATGATCTAGCCGCTACCGCCCCCAGGACTCTCCGCTCGGAAGCCTCCCCCTAACGCCCCCCGGGGACCGCTCCGGGCACCCCCCCCAGGACCGGGAAGAATCGAGGAGGGAGGAGGCCACAGAGCCGCGAAGACCACCGAGTCCGGAGCCCCCCTGGGTGGGCGGCACTGGCCAGAGGCCATTGCAGTAAAATTCCCTGGTGATCCGCCGCCGTGCCCCCTGGCACGTTGAGGTGTGGAAGAGGGTCAAAGTCCGCCTGGCAGGGTGCTTGGATTTCTAGAAAAAGGGGCCGCCCCCTCCCTCTACAAGCAGACTCCTGCGTGCACCGCCCCTCCTTTCCGAGGCCACTTCCTCATGCTGGCTCGAGGGTGTTCAACTTCCAGCATGGCAGCGACTGCCGAATTCTCCATTACACGCGTGCCCGCTCGAGGATGGCGCACTTCCCGCATGGCAACTAATGCCTGAATCCTCGTTCCATGCGCGCCCGCTCGAAGATTGTGCACTTCCCGCATGGCTGTTAACTCCAAGACCCCGCATTGCATGTGCACCCACTCTGGAATGTTGCACTTTCCGCATAGCTGCTAACTTCTAGACCCCTCATCCCACGCGCACGCGCGCTCCAGTGCCTCCCAAGCAACAACCCAATGTTAAAAACGATGGGTGTGCGTCCCGAACCGCATGTGCAGGCCACCGAGGACACCACGATGGCCCAAGATGCCTCGAAGACGGCCCAAGATGTCCCCAAGGCGGCCGAATAGTGATTCAAGACGGCCCAAAATGGCAGCCAAAACAAATGATTCCACCACTCTCGCCTTTGAGGGCTTGCCGTCAGCGCAAGACGGCACGAGAGGACTCCACGATGGCCCCAGAGGCACCCAAGACGGCCCCAGGTCGGCCCAAGATGGCTTCTTGTGGGACCCAAGACTGCCGTAGAAGGCCCTTCGAAGGCCCAAAACGGAGCCAAGACGGGGCCCCACGATGGCCCCAGACACCCAACGTACGGCCAAGAGGGCTCCAAGACTGCCCAAGGCAGCCCCAAGCTGGCGCAAGAGAGCCCCAAGGCGCCCAAAGACCCAAGACGCCTCAGGAGGGCCCACAGACGCCCCAAAGAGGGCCCCAGAGAACCCACAAGACTGCCTCATAAAAGGCCAAGACGCACCCAAGACGACCCAAACGAGTTCCAGCATCATCATCATCAGCATCATCAGCATCATCATAATCATCACTTCCACCACCACCACCACCACCATCATCATCATCATCATCATCAGCATCATCATCATCATCATCATCATCATCATCATCATCAACATCATCACCACCATCACCAATATAATCATCACAGTCACTACCATCGTAACCAACGCCATCGCCATGGTCACCGACGCCGACATGATCATCATGATCGACATCACCATCACCAGCAACAACATCCTCAACACCATCATCGGCATTACTATCACCAGCATCATCAACATCATGACCAAGATCACCAGCATTAACATCACCAGCACCACCATCATCATCAGCATCATCATCGTCATTATCATCATCATTAGCATCATCACTGTGATCATCCTCGTCGGTCATCTCATCATCATCGACATCACCCCCAACATCATCACCACCACCATCAGCATCAGTGTCAATATCATCGTCATCATCCCCATCATAATTATCATCATCAACATCATCATCACCATCATCATAGTACTCATCATCCTAATCGCGGCTCTCCCAATCCTGGAGATACGAGGGGTCACGCGTGACGGCCTCCATGCCCCCTCGAACCATCGCCACACACAATGCTGGATAGATGCAAGACGTCGCACGGGCGTAATTCAACAAATCATCTGCGATCTCGGGCGAGCTGAATCGGAATATCGGTCCACCTGGGGGAAGACCACGGCCGCGGGGATGCTTAGCGCGGGAAAACAACCGCCAGGAAGGAAAGTGGTGAACGGCCGAGGAACAATAACATCAACACTGCAGATGACAGCACTAGTGCAAACAACCCCAGTCATCAGCACATCAGAAAAAAACACACGCACCTAGTAAGAGTACGATGAAGATACGCGGTGATGGTGATGGTGGTGGCCATGGCGGAGATGATCTCCAAGGTAATCCAAGACTGAATACCGCACGAACACAGACTGAACGAAGATTCACTTTTGAAGGGGCCCTGGGACACACAAATGAATAGATAGACACACACACACACACAAAAGGGTTCCCAATGTGTTTCCACGTGTCCTGGGTGTTTGTCTTCCCCCCCCAGTCTCCATCTTTTCCAATATCTTCTGGGGAATCGACGATTGATTGTGTCTGTGTGATTCTGTCCCTCCTGAACTTCTGGAGGGGGGGAAGGGCGCGAGGGAGAAGGGGCGGCTCAGCCGGCGGCCCGGCTCTCGGGCGCCCGGAGGCGGCCGCCCCCACCCGCCGAGCCGGGCAGGGGAGGGGGGGGGGCGGGAGGGGAGGGGAGCGCCGGGCGCGGGGAGGGGGACGAGGAGGTCGAGGAAGGGGGGGGCGGGGTCGAGAGGGGGAGGCGGCCCCCCCGCCCTTCCTCCCGCCCCCACGCTCCCTCTCCTCCCGCACACCCCCTGCACGATCACCCGGGGCACCTCCAGATCCTCCGAGGCCCTCTCTTCTCTCGCGTCCTCATCCTTCGTCCTTCCGTTCTTGCCGCTCCCGCCTCCCTCCCCCCTCCCCATCCTCGGGCGGAGGCCTTCCTGCCAGGACGACTCGTCCTCGCCGACGCCGGACAAGGCGCCGACGAGGATCGCCATAAGGATCACGACAATCTGCTGCACCACGTTCTTGAAGCAGATGGCGTCCATCATGAAGACTGTGCCTCCAGAGGGGCGCGCGAGCGGAGCAGGGAAGGCGGGGGAAGGAGGACAAGGAGGGGAGGGCGAGGAGGAAGACGAGGAGAAGGACGTGGAGGCCGAGGGAGGACGGCGAGCCGTGGCTGGAAGGAAGGAAAGGTGGCGAACGATGGGGTAGGACGACGAAACTCACGACGAGAAGGGTGGAGGAGGGCATGCGACAAAGAACATGTTGCACGTCTGCTCAACTGAGGCGACCCGCTTACAAAACGCACCCGTGCCGATCCATCCTGGTAAGTCCATAACGAAAGGCATGGCGTTTACGGACAAGAAGTGGGGGCAATGAGAGAGCAATGGGAACACCACCGGCAGACGATGACAGGACAAGGCCTCTCGATGATAGGCCATGGCATGACGTTGACATAACACCACCTCACTGCTGTCCACCATGCTCCGATTGCAAATTACCCGTACACAAAAAAAAACATCACTACTGTATGTGATTGGGTGACCAACCCTCTCCACACAATGGGCACATTGCAAATCTACCCCCCACGTGAAACACAGCTTGGACGTCGAGAAATTGTCGTTTCCGCCGCGTCTGTCGACCGTCAGAAACAAGAGCTGATCGACTGCAGCTGCGGAAAACAACGTACCATAATATTTGAAACAGCACGACCAAAATAACCAACCAGACCCTGCAACCAAAAATCCCTCCGACCCAAAGCCTTCAATAGCCCCGAGATCCTCAAGGCACCGCTGCGGCCAGGCATAACCCACACCTCGATTCCAAGGCCAGGATGTTCCAAACCCACTGCTGCAGGAACCGACGCCCAAGGAACCGTGGAACCACGACCATCTTCGGGCCATGGACAAGAGGGGCCAGTGTCCCCTCCGGCCGCCCCCCCCCACTTCGGGACGCCGCGGCCCCGCCTCCTTGGGTCTGGAGGGAACGGATCGAAGGCTGGAGCTGCGGGCGCTGGTGGTGAAGGGTAGAAGACGAGGCAGCGAAGGTAACATGAGAGATAGCACAGCACAAGCTTTGATCTCGTCAGTTTCAAGCATACCGCGATCGCGCTTGCGTCAGACTGGCAGCGGGCGCGCAAGCGTGTTCCTAGTCGAAACCAGGCTATCAGGGAATGCAGCGCGCCCCTTCCGCAGCACCTCGGCCACAAAGGACCGCCCGCATGGAGGCGCCAGGGCATTCATCGCGAAGCCTGGGGGTCCCTGTCGGCTCGTCCGTGGTCAAACTCGAATGTGGGATGAGCTGGCCATGACCAGGGTCCCGGACAGCCAGGAGCAAGGCGCTGCTCGCGGAGGCCCAGCGCCATTCGTGCCGGCGCGCGCTCGAGCCGCAGCGCTGACCGCGCCTTCCAGACACGTCGTGCCCCTTGATACTTGCGCAGCCCCCTGCTGGCACAGGCGTCCGCCCCTGGCCCCCCGTCGCGCGCGAGTGCTGGCGGGGCTCGTCGCAGCGGTCCTGGGCCGAGCAGCGCAAATAGGATCCCGTGCACCTGCGGGGCTTCCCCGCGCGCGGCTTGGCGAGCGCGCGCGCGCGCAGGTCGCCCAGTGATTCGCGGCGGTGGCATGACTCTGCCCCTCGCGCGCGATTCGGCGAACAACTGAAGGTGCTGTTTTCAAGCCGCCGCTGCAAGGCGCGCGAGCGCGCGCGGGTGCAGCGCTGCGCGCGTGCTGGCGCTACCAGGCACAAACGCTGCCCCAACGTTCGCAGCGCAACGCATGGTGATGCTCCGGTATGCAGCGCCGTGCTTGCGCGGCTTGATCACCGGTCATAGGCGACGCCTCGGGATCGCTGAGCAGCACATGCGTGCACGCAGGTGGCGTATGCAACTCGAAGCCAGCACCACCGCACACGGAAAATGCGCAAACGTGTTACCCACCAGCGAGGACGCATACCATTGACGAGACAACCACGCACGGCTCCCTGTCCGAAAACTGCGAAGAGACAGGTGCACAGATTGCCGCGAGGCCGCGTGCCTACATCAAGCGGCACAGCAAAAGGCGTAAACGTAATATTGCGGCCGAACGCACGACGAACGCGTCAGTGCACCTGAAGCTACACGCACACAAGCTCCATGCATCGTGCGTCCGAACGCCAAGGGGTGACAATGCACCAGAGCGTGGGGCAACAGGCCTTGTCGGCCCAGATCGCAGGGAAATCGCAGTCGACATAACTACCTTGTTGAGTTGGTGAGTGGGCCGCGCGCCAGCGGTAATGGTAACGCTGACAGGTTGTCGTAGCCAAAGCCGCCCTCGTACGCAGGCGGGGCCGCTTCCGTGTTCCTTGGGAAACAGTTCCCGACAAGGCATCTGGGCAGCAAACGTCACGACAACATGGGTGCCAGCGTCGTGCCTCAGCGCCTCATCCTGGAAAATTGTCGGCGTAGACGGTAGCGAAGTCGCCGTCGAACGCCGCCTCGGAGAAAAAAGTGCGGCAACACGCGTTTGCCGAACTTGTTGCGGTGCGGGCAGGGGCGACAAGCCCCATGAACAGTGGGCGTTTCGAGGCCATCGTTTTTTTGATTTGCTCGCGGGTGATCGACTGCCGAACACTCCTGCCCGCGGCGCCGAGGCGACGAGCGACGGGCCCGAGGGGGGCCGAAAGAAACGAGGAACGGAGACCCAGGACCCAGAAAACGCCGAGCGAGGGCCACGACCGAAGAAAACAGGGGCACGAAAAATCGAGGGCCCGAGTAAGTCAACGCGATGCTGGAAAGGCCTGGGGGGATTAAATTTAAACTCCTGTGCAGAGGGCTTCAGCACACAGCCTCGACCTCCCTCAGGCTGCCAGCACGCAAAGAGAGACGATACAGATTCGAGAGGTACCTCTGAAGCCTGCCTTCTTACAAATCTCATCATAAAACCTCCGCAACCCGAACGCGAGAGAGACCTGGATAGCCGACATACTCAGCGCAAGGGCGTGGAGGAGACGGGGAGGAGGCTCAGGAAAATCATCGAGGAGGCGGCCTAAAGAGAGACTTAAGACATCCTCCCATCCACTCTCATACGTCGTCGTCATCCCTCCCCCACCCGCAGCTACAGAGCACGCAGCAGGAGGTGGAGGAAGGATCTGCCTCAGACCGCGCGTTTGCCGCGGTATCGAACGCGGTCGGACGCATCGCAGGGCTCAGAGAGGCGGAACGAGTTCGGGGCGAACGTGAACGGGATCGTAGGGATCACGTAGTCGCCCGTCGCAAAGACGTTCGCGTCGCGGGTCGCCGCGACGAGGGGCCCGGGCCCACTGCCGCGGCCGTCAGGAATAGTGGCCGCGCAGAGGCACGGCTGGTAGATGGTAACGGTGAACGTCGACATCACGTCGTAGGTGCCGACGCCATCACCCTGAGTATCGTCATCATGGAGCAGATTTGCACGAACAGGAGCTTCACCCAGTCGAGCTTCGGAGGGAAGTGCGGCATCGCCGACGCTATCAGCAGAGACCGCACCATCGGCACGATGAGGAACTGGATGGACAGCTCCCAGGGCCTCCTCTGGAGGCAGTGATGTCGAAACCTTCGGTGAAGGAGCAGCCGACGTGGGAGCAATCATCAATGTCGAAGTAGCCGTCAATGCAGGCGAAGAAAACAGCGAGGCCGAAGTCGCAGTCTTCAACGTAGCATCTGAAGGCTGTGATGCCGTAGCCTGCAAACCCGTAGAACATGGCGTTCCGCCCACCTCCATCATCACCGAGTCCAGGAAGCTGGTAGCGGAAACACACGTGACATGACGGGTCAGTTGTAGGCGTGGCCCAGGCGGGCAAGCTTGTGCGCAGTGCCGGTTGTAATACGACCAGCTCGGCGAAGAACACGACCCGCCTGCTCGAGACCTTCGAAGTGCGTGCCAGCAACTAACGAAAGCCGTCGGATCAACTCCCCATGAAGATCAGCAATGATCGTGTGAGGAGCAGCAGACATCACGGAGAGAATGGGGAAACCTTACAGGCGTGCCGCGTGCCAGTCGCTGGCAGGGCCAGCCACCTTGAGCCAAAAATGGTTACAGACGAGGCCATCGTACCGGCTGCAGATCCACGCGGACTGGCTGCAACTCTCGCCGAATGCGCGTCTTGCAAGCTGCCGTCCGAAAGCGGGACACCGACATACATCGGCGACATCGTGTTTGTGATGGGGTGTTCCCCATGACGCGCTTCCTCCTCAGAGCATCCACGGCGGTGCACACAGGGTGGCCACGATGTCGTGCCCCGTGCGCGGACCTGCACAGGGATGGTCGCCACCTTGACGCTCCTGACGCTTGGGGAAGACGCAGTCGTTCTGAGGCTCTTGGCTGGCGCTAAAAAAAGCTGTGCGACGAACACATTGATACATTGAGCACCTCGCCCGGCGCATAAGTCTCTTGGCCGGCGCTTAAAACTGTGCAACGGATACATTGAGACACTGAGCGCCTCGCCCAGCGCAACAACGTTCTCACCAAGAGAAACATCAACACTGCGGCGCACGTGCCGGACCCAAACACTGGCCCAGTCGTGCGGTCTAGCGCAAGAAGTCTGCGCCCCGCTGCAAGGAAGTTGTAGGTGCGGTGGGGGGGCCAGGATAGCAGTGCCTCCTTGGGCCGACTTACACCTGACTACCTACCAGACCACCCCCAACCCAACCCGAAGACCCGAATTTGACCCGAATTTCGGGTTGGGGGATGGGGTACGGGTTCCGTGTGTTGTTGCAACGTTTCCCGACCCCCCCCCACTGGAAATGGAGGGCAAATTGAAGCCTTCGGGTTGGGTTGGGGTGGCTTGGTTGGCGGTGAACACCTGCATCGGGCCATTTGTCCCCCAGCGGACGATGCACCCACAATATCGTGTGCTGTCGTCGGCATTCGCCGCGCCTTGCCGGTGGGTACGGTGCGTGAATTCCCGTATGAAGTTGCAGAACAGCCATAAGCACGAACTGCTGGGGAATGGGGTGTTACGTCTTTGAAAAAAAGAAGGGAAGTGCGAATGCGCGTCCCGATCATACTCTGCGCAATCCACGGATCGGTGCGAGAGCTGGGTAACACCAGTCCCGCTTCAAACTGGAGTTGTTGGTGTTAGCGGTGCAAGGTAACGACGTAGTGACATTGGTAGTATGAGAGATAGGACCGAAAGCCCTCTTCATCCTCCAGCATGACACATGCCGCGTGTACGCTGGAGCCAGAATGGAAGCGGGCGCACACGCGTGCTCCTATTCGATGTGGGGCTGATGAGGAGATGGATCGAGGGGAAGCGAGGAGGAGCAGGAGCATGGGGGAGGATTGAGGAGTACGATGGAGAGGATCTGAGGACAAGGAGTTGGAGGAGGCGGATCGAGGAGGAAGGGGTGACGGGTAACGAGAAGGTGAGAGCAACGGCGTACGCACCAGACCCGAGCCCGCCAGCACGCGTGCGACCTCGAAACGGACCCGCGCAGGCGAGGAAACCCCTCGCTCGGATCCGCTGCCGCCTGAGTTCCTGTTAGACCTCGACCCCAGAGGATCATACGTATCGGCCACGCCTCAGGCAGGAGCCAGAAGGCCTCCTTTAACAAATCGGAGCCCCAATCGGAATCCAAAGTCGAATCGAATCGGAAGCGGAGACAGTCGAATATCAAATCGAATCGAACCGCAGGAATCGAAACGAGCCCTGCGCAGGGGCACGAAGGGGGGCGGACGGGTGGCCGCCTTTCCAGAACATGCTGAAGATCCCGCCCACCTGGATGACCTTGCGCAGGTCGTAGTGGAACAGCTTGAGCTTCCTGGACATGTAGCGACGGACCCCGACCCCCCCATCCCCTCTGGGCTTAGGTCGGGCAGGTCATTCGACAGGCGGATTTGGGGCGGAAAATAAGCATTAGCCAAACCAGTTTTTTAAAACTGTTTGAAGGTCATGCCCAGGCTATGTTTCTGACTATGTTTGAGCATACCTCCTGTAGAGGGACGTGCCCGACTGAACTCTAGGCCTCCCTGGTGAGCGGCGAGGAGAGTGAGGGCTGGCGGGGCGGGCGCAGGGGGGAACGAGTTGCGATCGGAGGAGGGGGGCTGCCGATGGAGGGCGGAGCATGGTGAGGGGGTGGTGGGCGGGGGACTCGGGGTGGAGGAGGAGGGGGAAGTGATGCGGGCAGGTCGGGTCGGGCAGTTTTGCCGACGGCAGCTGGTTTCGCCGACGGCAGCTGGTTTCGCCGACCGCAGCTGGTTTCGCCGACGGAGCTGGTTTCGCCGACGGAGCTGGTTTCGACAGGCGGCGAAACCAGCCGGGCGAAACCAGCCGGGCGAAACCAGCCGTTGGCGAAACCAGCAGTCGCCAGGAGGGGGGGGCTAAGCCCCTCCCCTTACCCCACCATCCTCGACCTGCGCATCCTCTCCTCCCCCCCGCCTACAGCTCCCTCTGTTCCCGAAACCCGCACCCAGGCCAACGCCCTCACGCCGTCCTCCTGCCACCTCCTCTCTCCCCATCATTCCCTTCCCAATCTGACCGTCCATCCCCTCGACACGGGAGGGAGCGAAAGGGGGAAGGAGGCAGACAGAGGGAGACTGAAGAGCAGGTTGCGTTGCATCAAGCAATGCATTATGATCGTCCCTGCCTGCGGAAGTGTGGTAGAGGGCGGGAACGCGAATCGCAGGAGAATACGAGCATCCTCCATCCTCCTCCGCCGACCTCCGTCCTGCTCTCCCCTCCTCCCTCCTCCATGATCCCCTGTCGTCCCACCTACCTCCTCGTCTCTGCACCTTCTCTCCCCTGCATCATCCCACCTCAATCCTCCCCTCTGGTCATCAATGTCGTCATCCCAATTCCCACTACTCCCTCATCCATTTCATCATGATCATGCTCCTCCGCCACCTGCCCAAAGCGCCCTACACATCCTTCTCCTGCGGAGACAACAAACGACCACAACCACGTCGAGGACACACCCGGGGAACTGTCTATCGCATGCCACACACATTGACGAAACACCAGAACCAGCTGCGTACTGGTTGTGTTCGATATGGCGTCCCGGACGGCCGAATCGACCACAACCACAACCAATGTGCTCATGTCGAGGTCGGCGGGTCTCCCCCGAGGGGCCCTCCAACAAAAATCAACGTATTTGTGGTTGTAGTTCTTTGTTGTGCCTGGCTCCTCCTCCTCCTCATCTTCTTCCTTCCTTCATCCTTCCTCCTTCCTTCCTTCCTTCCTTCCTTCCTTCCTTCCTTCCTTCCTTCATCCTCCTCCACCTCCTCACCCTTCTCCTCCTCTTCCTCCGCATCCTCCTGCTCCTCCTCCTCCCTCGTCCTCATAAACATGACCCGTTGGTGCTCCCCTATCCCCTTCCACTTCCCTCCTTCCCCTTCCCGCTGATGCAGCTTCCCTCGCTCAATTACCATCCAACCCCCCGCTGGGGGGCAAAGGAAGATGGGAAAGAGGAGGAGGATGAAGAGGAGGAGGAGGAGGAGGAGGAGGAGAAGGAGGAAGGGAAGGAAGATTAGGAGGGGCTGTGACGACGACGGCTGGTTTTAGCAACGACGGCTGCAACATCAGCGCCAGCGTCCCGCTGTGCCCGACCGTGTAGGTGGCTAGGCAATTGGTGAACTCCTCGGCGTCCCCGTACGCCTCCGCGACCTGCCCGGGAAAGAGGGAGAGCGGCAGCAACCCAAGGGAGGTGGGCGTCGCCCACAGTGCGGGCGCGGCCGCAAAGAAACCCTCGCAAGAAACCAAACCCTGCAAACCCGCGCGCGAGGTGCACCTGAGGGGAAACCCGGCGCACCCTGAAAGCAGCAGCTTCTTCAGCGTCTGCGGGAAGTCACCGCGCAGCTCGCGGAGCGAAGACACCCAGGATGGCCTCACGAAAAGCGCATGGTTTCTTAATGCGCGCCCCCACAGTAATGGGGGGCGATGAGTGGGGGGGGGGGGAGAAGGTGCACTTCTGGGGCCCTGAAGGCCCCCTTTGGGGCCCCAAAGGGCTCATAATTACAAGTGGCTGTAAAGGGCTCCTCTTCGGCAGCCCTCGCCGCCCCCCAAAGTTGCCGCCCCCCGGATTTTACACGACGCCCAGTGGAGGGAGGCACGGGGAGGGCCCAGCCGGGAGGGAGGACGAGCAGGAGGAGGAGGGGGGGGGGAGGCGAGGGGGCGGGAGGGCCAGGCAGAGGCGAGCGGGCGGGAGGTGGGCGGTGCCCGGCCGCGCTCCGCCCCGCGTGCGGCAGCGCACCCCCTCGGCGCGTGGGCGGCGGCGGCGGCCCCCGAGGGCCCGGCGGGGCGCGCGGGGACAGCAGCGCACGCGGGCGCCATGGGGCACGCGCTGGCACGCGCCCCGGGAGGCAAGGAGTGGAAGGGAATGCCCAGGGGGGGGGAGGTGCGCAGCACCAACAGCTGAGAAGCAGAGGGGGGGAACGGGACGCTCGGGACGGCAAAAACTGAGGAACAGAGGGGGGAAGTGCACAGCACCAAGACTAAGAAACAGAGGGGGGAGGTGCGCAGCACCAAAAACTCAGAAACAGGGGGGGAACGGGACAATCGGGAGTTGGGCCGAAGTGGCCGACTCTTGAGGCCCAGGCTGAGACTATCCCCGAGAACGAGCAGCAGATCCCTGCGCTTTGAGGAGCAGGAGGAGGGGGGGGCACGAGCATCGTCTGCTGTGGCCCCCATGCCGGCTGGGGAAGCCTCGGCCCCGCAGTGCAACCCCTCCCCCCCACAAGTGGGGACAGATGCCGTCTCCGTCGGGCTTCGCGGCATCCGTGCCTACCTCGAGGGGGGCAGGCTGATCTTGCGCCGAGGAACCCTGGCCCACTGGGGATGGGGATATACAGGTCCGACAATGCTGAGGAACGTAAACCGAGCACCTGGACGGACGAAAGGAAAGGCAGGAGAGTCCAGAATCGAATGGATAAGTCGATTCGGCGATCGAAATGGATCGGATCGACGAAACTCATAAGCCGAGTCGGGAATAATCGAATCGCCAGGCATGTTCAGGCTGGTAGGCCTCCATAGAGAAATCGGAGCCCAGATCGGAATCCAACGTCGAATCGAAGCGGAATCGGAAGCCATCGAACTCGAGCCGAATCGACTGGGAGCAAACGAAATGATCCCTGGAACAGGGGGTGTTGGCGAAGGAAGCAGCTCACGTACAATCGACATGTGTATCAAGCACGGGTGGCAAGACCGCAAAACACCCTTGGAAAGCGAAATTTGGATGTTTGCTGTAATGTGGCGGGCGACCGGTGAGAACGGGAAAGGAAAGGCCGCAAATGCATGGGGACCCTGTCACTGGGGCCTTCAGAGAAGCACCTGGTGGGGCCAAGAAGCGTGTGAGGGGTGCGCCGACATGGAGGTGGAACTGGATGCGGAGCCTGCCACTGGGGCCTTCAGTGGAGCACCCTACAAAACCAACAAACGTGTGAGGGGTGCGCCGAAGCGGAAGTGGAACAGCATGCGGACCCTGCCTTTGGGCCTTCGATGAAGCACCCTAACGAAACGTGTGAGAGGTGCGCCGAAATGGAGGTGGAACTGCATGCAGGCCTTGCCACTGGGACCTTCGGTGGAGCATCCTATCGTGCAACGACGCGTGAGGAGTGTGCTGGTGGTGGAATTGCATGCGGACCCTGTCACTGGGGCCTGCGGAGGGCAGAGGCAAGGGATGGGAGGAAGGAGGGGGAGCAGGAGAGGAGAGCAGAGTAGGACGCGGGGCGCTGCCTCTTCAAAATGAGGACCCAACACCACAGGACGGTTGGGAATAAATTTGCCTTGTTTCCGTCGTCGGACCCCACGATTCAGACCCCGACGCCTGCTCACAACGCGTCATTGTTTCGGGCTCAAGAGGGGCCAAAGACGGGCCAAGAGGGTCGCAAGAGGCCATCAAGAGGGCACATACAGGCCCCGAGGCGCCCAAATATCCCCCCAAGACGCCCAAGCTGGCCCAAAGACTGCCCAACAAGCTTCCAAGACGCCCCAAGAGGCCTCCAAGAGATTTGCCAAGAGGGCTCAAAGAGGGACTCATCCATCTTCCGTGCTGTCCTCCTCCTCCTCCTCGGCCCTCGGTCCTCGGTACTTCATACTGAACCTCCGCCCCCCTCGATCGCTGATGTGGCTCCCGATGGTGTTCCTCCGCCTTCGCGCCACCATCCGTGGTGGTCGTAACAATCGTCGCTGGAGTCGGAATCGCCCGTCGTCCGAATCGGAATGCCCATCATAATCCGAACTATCATCTTCATAGCCATCATACTCGTCGCCAGCAGCATCATCATGCCACCAGCATCGTCATAATCGTCGTCATCATCATCAACTGCATCCTCCTCCTCCTCCTCCTCATCATCATCATCATCACAATCATCATCATCATCATCATCATCATCATCATCATCATCATCATCACCAGTATCATCAGCATCGTCATCATCATCGTCAGCAGCACCAGTACACTCACCACCATGAACATCAGCAGCACTGCCATTGTTCTACGTACAGCCATAATCAACTTCGCCACCATCAGACACACTGGTTTCAATCAACACAGTCACCATCGTCAGTATCAGCATCATGACCATGATCATCATCATCATCATCATCATCATCACCATCACCATCATCATCACCATCAGCATCAGCAGCAGCAGCATCTTCAGCATTAGCGTCATCATCGGCATCATCAGCATCATCAACATCACCATCATCGTCATCATCGTCATCGTCATCGTCATCGGCATCATCACCACCATCAGCAACAGCATCAGCATCAGCATCAGCATCATCATCATCTTTACCATTGTCACCATCATTACAATCGTCACAATCATCAATCACCAGCAGCATCATAATCGCCCATCGTCATCCTTATTGACATCCATTGTCATAGGCATCCTCGCCGTCACACTGCCAGACGCAACCCAAACAACCTTCGGAACACCTGGAGGGGACGTCAAACCCGGAACGCTCCAATGTCAGACCTGGAAGGGATGTCGAGCCGGTTCCCTTCTCAGGGACCTGCCCGTCATGCTGGTGCGCTTCAGTACGGCCTGGCGAGGGCACCCCCCGCCGAAACAGCCAAACACTTCCGCCGCGACCGCGCGAAAGCCCGCCGTTGCACAGAAAAGACGGCGCCCCGAAAAGGAACGACCAGAGCCTCACAGACCCCGCATGTCTGCGGCACTCCTCGGGGCGCATCGATCTCCCGCGGCCCCGGGCCCCGAACATCTGGGCGAAAAAACAGTGGCGTCCGAACCTCAGGGCCTGCCCGCCGCCTGCTCACTGCTGGCGGCGGCGAGCGAGGGGGGGAGAAGAATGAAGGGGAACTGGGACACACAAATAAATGCACACAAATAAAACTATCCCCCATATTTTCTTATATTTTCTGGGTTTTTGTCTTCCCCCCCACTTCCCATATTTTTCTGGGAATCGCCGATCAATTGTGTCTGTGTGTTTTTTCCCCTCCTGAAAGAAGGCCTTCTCAGAAGGCGGCAGGACTTCTCAGAAACCCTCAGAAGGCTTAGAAGACGGCTCAGAAGGCCAGGGGACTTCCGAACCTTCTGAGGAGGCCTTCTCCCTGGGGCGCGCAAACATGGATTAACGATCCATGGATTTGGCGCGCGGTCGTCACATCCGTGGATCGGGGGAGGCGCCCTCCCCAAGAGACGGCCGGTGCCGCCGCGCTCGGCGACGGAACTTCGCGATGTCCCATGGAAACGGGACGCGTCGCTACTCCACGCCCCCTGGATCCATGTCTGCGAGCGCCCGATGCTCACTCCCCCCCCTCGCCGTGCCGCCGCTGCTCGCGGCGCCCGCCCCCGCGGCTGCTCCGCTCCGTCTCCGAGCCTCCCTGAAGTGGCGCCCCGCCACCGTGGGCGCGCCGGGCAGGCGAGCGGCCCCCCCTCGGAGGCGGCCGGGAGGGCCCTGAGACGGTCGGGACCCCGGGGCAGTGGATCGGGGATGGACAGACCCCCCTTTAGTAAAGCGTGGTTTAGTGAAAACGACCTGAGGCCCAAACCTGGCGGGCGCAAACCTGGAGAATAACGGCCACGGCGCCCTCTCGAGAACCGAAAACGGACAATTCACTAATCGACGTGTCACTGTTGAGGGTTCCGTCCACCCCCGAGTGGAGGCCAGTCCACAGGAGACAACTTCCACAAGAAACCCAACCCTGAAACCTTTTGGCGCGGAAGCATCACGAACTCCATGGCAAAACCAGCGAGACCCAAGAAACCCAGGGCACCCCAGAGGCAAGCAGGGTGTTTCTTGGCATGGGTTTCCACAGTAGGGAGGGGGGATGGAGCCAAATCCGCGCAAAACCCACCCCTGGACACCTCCAGGCGCACGCTCGACAGCGTCCACCGCGTCCTCCTACTCCTCCTGATCTTCATCCTCGTCTTCGTCGTCCTCCTAATCTTCGTCGTCGCCTTCAAGGTCGGCGGCACCAGCCGCAAGGCCTTTGCAATCCGGTCACACTCCACCCCCAGACCCCTCCCGGAGCACGCTCACCCCGTCTCAGCTCTGACGGTCCGCGGCCCCCAAAAAAGACTCACAGAAGCGGGCAGAAGGCAGTCAAGACTTCGAACGACGACGACGACGACCGCCGTCGTCGTCGTCGTCGTCGTCGCGAACCCGCGCCCTCGAACGAACCTGCCCCCCTTTTCGGTCTGGCCAGGGACTCCCTCGCCCTCACCTCGCTGCCACGGTCGGCCCTGGCGCGAGGCCCGCTGCTCCAGGCTTCGACGCGGGCGCGCCGCCGACACCGCAAAGCCTGGCAGCCAGGACGGCCTCGTGAGGGGCCTGCGTACACCCCGCGAAATGCTTAAGAAATCATGGGTTAAGAAATTCATAGTCTCAGAAACCCAACATTTCTATTAAAATCTTGGGATTTACATTGAAACATTAAGAATAATCGAGACTCTGGTCGAAATCTTAAGTTTTCTTAAGCATCGCCTAAGGTGTACTTGTGAGGGGGGCCCTGGGACACACAAAGAAACAGACTCAAGTCCCAGGAGCCCCCCATGTTTCCCCAATATTTTCTCGCTTTTCGTCTCCCCCCCCTCCACATATTTTTCCACATGTTCCCGGGAGCCGACGACCAACTGTGTGTGTGTGTAATTTTTGTCCCTGTTGAGCTTGGCGTGCTTGGCCACCTGAAGACCCCCGAGCCCGCTCCAGCCGCCACCGACGCTGCGCCCGGCGTCGTCGCCCGCCGCCGCCGCCCCTCGCCGCCGCCGCGGGGGGGCGCCGTCTTGAGGTCGAATTGCAGCGACGTCTGGAGCCTGCCCGGGGCGCGTATAGGGACCGGCTGCCGCCCACGCGCGGGCGGGCGGGTATATATTCGCGGCCGACGCGGAGGCCCGCAGAGAGGAGGACACGGTGCCAGGTCCACGGGAACGACGATGGGAACCTCGGGATCCACATCGCCCCGCATCGCCGGCGCACAGGGAGAGGCACTGCAAATGCGGCGCGGTTCTGGGGCCCCGTCTATGCCGGCCCGTTTTGGGAGGCCTGGAGAGAACGCACGCGGGGCAGTGGTAACCTCGATACGTCATTAGACCCCCCCATGATAGTTGGAAACTGATGATCTGATCGGCAACCTTATTGACGGACTCGGGTCCAATCACTAGCTGAAAATCCGCCGACCCAATTCGGTGTGTGACAGGGTCTGTGCCGCTCGTCGTCGTCGTCGTTGTCGTCGTCATGGTAGTCGTCGTGATCGTGGTCGTGGTCGTCGTCCTCGTCACCGTCGTCGCAACGGGAGAGAAAATCGAACGTGGTAATCACATCGCAAGGGAGTCCCTTCCCCGTCTTTTCCCCTGCCGGGGGGGCGGGGCCGGGGAAGACCCAGGGGTCCCGGGCCTGGTGGTCCCGGGTTAGAATACCATCCCGTGATCGTGGTCGTGGTCGTCGTCGTCGTCGTCTTCGTCGTCGTCACATCGGGAGAGCAAATCGAACGTGGTAATCACATCGCAGGGAAGCCCCTTCCCTGTCCCTTTCCCTGCAGGGGGGGGGGGCGGTCCCGGGGAAGACCGTGGGGGACCCGGGGGGGGTCCAGCTGGTCAGAATGCCGTCTCAGGGGTTTTGTGTGATCATTTACCTAGCGGGAGCCCCCCATCCCCCCCCCTCCTCCTCTTCCTCTTCCTCCTCCTCTCCTCCTCCTCCTCCTACTCCTCCTCTTCTTCTCCATCCTCCTCCTCCTCCTCGCCTCGATTCCTCCTCCTCTCCTCCTCCGCCGCCGCCGCCTCCGCCCGCCTCCGCCTCCGCGCCACCTCCTCATGTCCTACCTCCTCCTGTGCATCCTCTCCTCTTCCTCCGCCTCCGCCTCGCTCCGCCTCCGCTCTTCCCTCTCCTCTCCTCCTACCTCCGACCTCCGCCCTCGTCCACGACCCTCTCACTCCTCAATCCCTCCTCCTCTCCTCCACCCCCTAAATTTCCCTCCTAACGTCCTCCTCCTCCTCCTCCTCCTCCTCCTCCTCCTCCTCCTCCTCCTCCTCTCAGACCTCTCAGACCTGGCGAACACCCTGTCATCCACAGAACAGTGGGTGCCGACTGCAAAATCAAGTTTCCCAGGACGAACTCGGCTGGCCAGGAGCAGGGGGCAGGGGCAGGGGCGAGGGAAGAGGGAACAAAAAGAAAGGAGGAAAGGGGAAAGGCAGGCCAAGGCCGAAATTTCGCCCCAGGAAGACGCCCCTTGAGGAGTTCTGTTCCGGACTCTTCCTCTGGCACTTGCCCAATAGACGGGCAGAGGCCTTGCAGGTTGCAAAGCCGCCACATCGTACACAGACTATGACAGGGACATCTGTCTCAACCACACGGGCCCAGTGCAAAAAATGGCGATCCCCACCTTGACCCAGCAGCAGCGAGGTCATGGTCGGGTTCGGGTCAGCACAGACCGATGTGGTGGCTGGAGTAACAGCTCGAAGGCAGCGGGAGCAGCGATGCTGATCCCCATGTGGAACCAGTACATGCTGGCTCTTCTCTCGAGTCGGCGCACTGGTATTCTCGGGCCTTCGAACTCTCTTGAATTGGGCTCCAAAAGGGGGCCAGCCACACTTGCAGGATGGACGTCGTACCAACGGCAAGACTGCTATACTCGATCTCCGCCCTTTCAGAGTCCCACAGCTCCTGGGGGCGAAGGTTATGGCACTGGGCAGCAGCCTTGGCCCAGAGGCCGCCTCCGCCTCCGCCTCCTTTTTCTCCTCCGCCTCCGCCTCCGCCTCCGCCTCCGCCTCCTCCTCCTCCTCCTCCTCCTCCTCCTCCTCATCCTCCTTATCCTCCTCCACCTCCTCCTTATCCTCGTCCTCCTCCTCCTCCTCATCCTCCTCCTCCCGCCTCCCTCCTCCCTCCACCCTCCTCCCATCTCCCTCCTCCCTCTTCCCTCCTCCCTCCTCCCTCTTCCCTCCTCCCTCTTCCCTCCTCCATCCTCGCTCCTCCCTCCTCTCTCCGCCCTCCGCCCTCCTCCCTCCTCCCAGCTCACTCGTCCTTCGTCCCTCGTCC